TCTGCCACTTCCCCTGCTTGTGCACTTGCTCATGTGTGCATATGCGGCTGCTCTGACAAATAAAATCTTAAAAAAATAAATAAATAAATAAATAAAACAAGGTCTAAGGAACCAGGTCATCATTGTGCGGAGGGCTGAAGGTAGGAGGAGTTGCTACTGGTGGGATCATAAGGCATCTGTTGATGAACAAGGACCTGAATGCAGACACATGGGGAGAGGGGTAGGCAAGGAACATAAGTACTGGGCAAAAGAGGACCAAGAGCGGGAAGCACATGTTCGGGGCCTGACTAAAGCCCAGGATGTAGTAGAGGAAGGCTGAAGGGGAGAAGAGGGAAATGGAGATTTGGGTCAGATGATAAACATCACTAATGCCATGTGGAATGAATGCATCATTTATGCACTAGGCAATTTTGAAAGCAATGTCTGTGAAAGAGACAACTGTTTTGGCCAGGTGGTATTTAAAAGAGAAGTCAGAGAAACAGGAGACCCAAGCAGTCCTAAATACTCTCTATGTAAAGAAGGTTAAGAGTCTGGATAAATAAGGGCTGCTGAGAGGCCTAATGAACCAATATGTTAATATCCCTTCCATCCTGTCTGAATTCCTAAGTACCAGAAAAAAAATACGCTAGAGAAATCTTTTTTTTTTTTTTAAGATTTTATTTATTTATTTGAGAGAGAGAGAGAATGAGAGACAGAGAGCACGAGAGGGAAGAGGGTCAGAGGGAGAAGCAGACCCCCCGCTGAGCAGGGAGCCCGATGCAGGACTCGATCCCGGGACTCCAGGATCATGACCTGAGCCGAAGGCAGTCGCTTAACCAACTGAGCCACCCAGGCGCCCCTACACTAGAGAAATCTTAAAGGAAATGCAAAGTTTCATTCCAGGCCCTTTGGATTCACAGGGTAGCTCACAGACCCCAAACACAGCCAACTAAACGGGCTCATTGGCAAAGGAAAGAATTGTGAAGAAAGTTCTTAACATTAGCAGTGCTTATAAAATCCTTCCTACCTTTGCTGGATCTCTTTGATGTCTTCTTGTTTCCTTCGGAGGTAATTTCAATCTCATCAGGATTACCCCCCTCATCTTCAATTGCCTAAACGGAAGGTTAAAAAATAGTTTAGCAAAAAAGGCAGCACGCAGACTCGACTTCCACGGAAACTTCAGGTTGCTGATCTGGAAAGGGCTTCCCCCCACCCATCTGTTGTCTTGCTCTACCTTGGAACAAAGGCTCTGGAGTCAACTTATTTCTTAGTACACCACAATCTAGTCCATCCTGGACTAGGGACCCAAGGGAACTCAAAAAGGAAAAAGCACACTCTTCCCTTTCCTATGACTTCACCCAGTGACGTGTTGTTTGACCCTCTGTGACTCCCTCTCCATGCCATGCCTACACTTGGCACTGTCTGGACAGAATACTCAGCTAACACTCACTCGGCTGAGATCGTACTGTGTGTGCCATGAGACTGGACATGACCCATATGACCTCATCAGATCACTCACATCCGTGACTGACTTCAAAGGTCTTGCTCTTAACCAGCAGGGGACCTACCTGAAAGGGTACAGAATTATAATGATCTCTTGGCAAGCCCCACCTCCCACCCAAGAGCTCATCATTCCTTTGAACAGCCCGCACCCACACTCAGCACAGCGCATAGCCCCAAGGCGGCCCGCAGCAAATGGTTACTGAGCCTGTCATCAGTGTTATCCTTGAATACTGGGCTTCGCTTTTAGGTTTTACTGATAACTCTTTCTCTCTTTACTGTACTATCCTATGAGCACAAGTTCTGTTTAAACCCACTTCAAATAGCATGTCTTTTTTCTAGACGGTTTCAGAAATTCCGATCTTCAGGAGTTTCTCAGCGTCGAAGTCTGAATTTGCAATGGGGCTTAGGGACTCCACATCTGAACTGTACCAGGAACAAAGAAAATCTCTCCTCTCTCCGAAGCCAGGGTGAGGAGAAGGAATTGGGATTTCTGCTCTGGGATCAAGGAAAACACAACCAGAAAGTCCCTCCCATTCTTCCTGGCAAAAGAGGATTCTGGAATACTGCTAGAACTGCCCCAGACAGGAGGTGTACCATTTTGCCCCTCAATATGTCTCCTCTGGGTGCAGTGTTTACAGGATCATCCCCAGGGACACTGTAGGCTATGAGTCATCCTTACAGAGCTCAGGAAACTACTCTTTGTGCTCCTTCCGCCTTTTCCTCATTTGCCCTTTCTGGAAAAATCACACACACAAAAAAGGGGACACTAACTAAACTAGACGGTAGAAGTAAAAAACAAAATCAGTTAATTCTAGACTCACTTGGATAAGGTAGCATATTAACATAGTCGCTGATATTTATGTCCTATGACCACACCCCTAAGAAAATGAAAACAGGGAGAAGAAATGAAGAATGGCTCTGAGATAATAGTGATGGAGGATCCTTGAAGTCACATACCAGTTTCAGCAACCAATCTGACAGGAAGGTTCAATGCCATCCTATCAGCTTTGCAGTCTTGCAGACTGAGTAAAAAGGATAAAGGTCCCAATTTGGCTTTGCTGACTGGAGGCCCTGCTGGCAACCCTCAACCTTCCACCATTTTTCCTAGAACATCTTGGTCGACGAACTACCTGCCCCAACTTGAGTAAAGGAAGTTCGTATCCATAGTGAAACAAACACAAGATCAAGTTAGAAAAGCCCAACTGACTGTGGACTAATCAACCCACCATTTTCAAGCCCTAGCTTCCTCATTCAGAAAATGGGAAACAATCCCTACTTCCCCTTAATAGCAATCCGTAATAACTAATGCCCTGGTCTTCAGTTGTTCGGGAGCCAGGAGGGTGCAGAGAGTCGCAAATCACACCGTCTGCAGGGGTTGGGGGTAGCGATGCTGCGATTACACGAGAGAGGTCCCAAGACGAGAATAGGTCAATGGGAGAAAAACAAAAAAGCCAACGAGAATATGAAAAAAGGGAAGAAGGACCCAAACATTTAATTAACTGCTCACGCTTTTCACACCCATCCCTCAGAACCCCTCAAGGTAGGGATAAGAGTCCTGGTTTTGCAAATAACAAATGATGGCACAGAGAAAAAAATGAATTGTGTCAACGATCGTATCTTCATGTACCGGGCGGCACGCCAAACCCGTTTCGTGCAATCTCGTTTGATCCTAACACGAAAGCACGATCTTTCCTTCTCTTTACAGGATCAACAAGCTGAGAGAGCGTTAAACGCCTTCCGTGCCCAAGATCAGGCCTCTGAGACCCGGAAGAGACCCAAGGCCAGACACAGGGACGAGAGCCCCCACTCTGCCTGCCTCCTAGCAAAGTCCTGAAGCCGTCTTCACGTTCTCCCCACCAACGTCTCTTACGTTTCTGCTCGCTATCGCAACAGTACTTCCTTTTCCGTGCTATTTCCCCGACCTAGAGCTTGCAAATTCACAAACCTTTTTTTTTTTTTTTTAACCTCTGAACAGGCTCTTGGCACATTTGCCCAGTCAACTAGATCCCTCTTCAAAGTGCGTCGACCCTAACGGGCCACGGAGCATCGGAATCTCCAGAGGAAGCCCCGCGGCCAGCGCGGGCTCAGAAAAGCGCCCGGCCTGGGTCCCAGTCCCTACGCCTCGTCTCCACGGCCGTGTGACCTTGGCCGAGTCCCCCCACCTCGCCCCAGAAGTGAGGGCTTCCGGGTTTCCCGTCATTTTTGGAGGCTAGGGTGGGCCGCTGAGAGGAAGGCCCTCCGCGCAGTGGCCGGTGAAGAAAACAGGAACCCTCGGCCTGGGGGCCTTGCCGTCCGCCGCCGCAAGGCCGCGGCGCCTTCGCCGGTTCGCGCCCAGACATTCCTTCCTTCCCAGGGCGGCGCTGAGGTTCGCACCCGAGCCCAGCAAGGCTGGGAGCTCCCGCTAGGGCCTGGGAAGAGTCGGGAGAAGCCCGGAGCTCCCGGCCAGAGGCAGGCCCCACAAGGGACCGGGGGCGGACCCCGAGACCAGGGGACCGCAGTCGCGGCCGCCAGGACCCCCTTCTCTTCTCCTGCCCGCCCCCGCAGGGCCCCAGCTCCACCTTTTTGAGCCGCTCCATCAAAACGCTCTTATTGCCGCTCGAGTCCAGATTCCGTTTCCTCAGCTCCGCCCGCAGATCGATCACCCGCAGATCGCTGAGCCGCCGCGTCCCGGTTTCCGACGAGGCAGAGCTCAAAGCCGCTGCGCCCGCCGCACCCGAATCGCCTAGTCCTGAGAGAGTCTCCGCCATTCCAGGGACCGTGGCTCCGCCGCCCACTTCACACAGAACCGGGCCGGTTTTATCTGGGCACCTAGCACAAAATGGCGCCGCCTGCGAGGGAACCGCTCCAGCCGCCCTGGCGCGCCTCCCTTCTGCGCAGGCGCACCCGGCGCGGAGCCGACGCTGCCGGTCGCGTGTGCACATGCGTGGTGAGCGCTCACAGGGATGTGCGCAGGCGCATTGCATCTCGCCAGCCTCCCGCCGCGAACGGCCGTGACACATGCGTGCTGCAGTTACGGCGCCTGCGCGTTGTGGTGGGGAACGTGCGGTTGGTCGACGCGCGAGCGCGCGTGCTGTTAAGAAAGTTGGCATGTGCGGCACGCATGCGCTGCCGGAAAGCGGGGCGGGAGGAAGCGAGTGCGTTTTCCTCTTAGGCGGCGCCATTTTGTGCTCAGAGCCGCTACAGCCGCCGGCGGTGTGGGAAGTGGGTGGCGGGGACGCGAGACCTGGGATGGCGGAGACTCTGGCAGGGTCCGGCGAGTCGGGTTCTGGCACAGCCGCTGTCGGGTCGGGCACCTCGGAGGCTGGGACGCGACGGCTGAGCGACTTGCGGGTGATAGACCTGCGGGCGGAGCTAAAGAAGCGGAACCTGGACACGGGCGGCAACAAGAGCGTCTTGATGGAGCGGCTCAAGAAGGTGAGGCGGCTCGACGTCCCGGGGTGGAGCAGGGGGCCGCGGCACGCCCCCGCGCCCACCTGTCACCGCGATTCTCGGACGCGGGCCCCCCTCCACCGTTCCCCCTTGTGACCGACCCCGGCCCGAGCTCGCGGGGACCACGGGGCCCGGCTGTGTGACCTTGGCCCGTCACCGCCCCTCTCTGCCTCGCTTTTGATCCTCCTTCCAGCTGGTCGCCTCAAGAGTGCCGAAAGCGCGTCCTTTTCGCCGCCGGGTGGCCGCCTGGACTTCTTCCGGGCTCCAGCTGGAGACTCGGTTCTGTGACCTTGGATAGGTGCCTTCTCCCTGCCCCTCAGTTTCCTCCCCTGGAGCACGGATGAGTAAAGAGCCTTTGCGATCTTAAGGAGAGGGAGTTGTGCTTGTTAATACTCCAGGACTTCTGTTCTTGTCATGCCCTCCCCTCCACCGCTATTCTTCACGGCTTCTGGTTAGTGCCTCGTAGCCTTTCTCGCTCTCCCTGGGATAGATGTCTCCCCAACGTGCCTCCTAGAGTGTTGCTCCACCTCCCTGCTTCTTTCTTGCACCGTTTTGTGTTTATGCCCCACCTGGCCGCACTCAACCCCACGTTGAGTATGGAGGAATAGCTGTCTCCCCAACCGGAGCAAGCTCGTTGCAGAGCTTGGGTTTACCGTTGAGTGTCCAGTGCTGTGCCAGTCCGGAGGAAGGTGCTGAGCAACCCTACACACAGACACACACACACACACACCCCACTCCCAGTCTGTCTGGTGGGTTTTCTCCCCAGAAGTCAAGCATGGCTTGTGGAACACCACTCAGACCTTTACAGATGGTGGACTTAGTGGACCTAGTGCAGCATCTCTGTTACTGTTACCGTTATTAAAGTGGAGGGTTAGGCAATGTCTAGTTTAAGGGCCATTTTGGAACTGGTCATTGACCTGGACCCTGGAGCCCCAGTTCACACATCCCTTTGTCTTTTGTGCTTAGGGCCCAGAGAGAACCAAGTTGCGCTGGGTTCATCCTGTGCCTTTTGGGCTGGCAGCCCAGAGAGCAGAACCAGAGTTGTTGCTCTTTGCAAGGAAGTGTTTGACTTTGTTTGCTGGGAAGTTGTTACTTAACAGAGAACAATGTGTGCCCTGCAGGTCTCCACAGTGTTGTAAAGTTTCATCTCTTCTTAATAGGCGGTTAAGGAAGAAGGGCAGGATCCTGATGAAATTGGTGTCGCGTTGGAAGCCACAAGCAAGAGGACAACAAAGAGATGTATTAAAGGTATCTGCTTGTACTTATTGCTGCTGGAGGCCTGAACGTGTAGAGAACTTACTTACAGATTAGTTTTTTAACACCGCCTCTGTCCTCTGGGCCCAGAGAATGTCTTTGGCCTTCATTGTTCCCATCTAACAAGTAGGCTTGGTTTTCACCACCTTACAAGTAGCTCTGTCAGGAGTGCTGGGAGGAGTAGAGAGATATGCAAGTGTTACGTAAATTTTGCCTTAAAGACATTTTAGCTCTTGTCATCGGGATTCAAAAACAACCAGAGTAAGTCACATTCTTAAAGCTGCTCTGAGCAACCAAATACACTACGTGACTTTATTCCTGGGAAGTTGAAAAACGGGGTTTTAAACCAAAGAAAAGGACACCAATCTGAGACGGAGTAGAACCGACTATCTTTAAGGATACAGAACAGGTTGTTGGAGTATTTTCATGCAGCCTTTTTTTTTAACCAGTGAGGTTTTGTTTTGTTCTGTTTTGTTTTTTTAAGATCTTATTTTGAAGTAATCTCTGCATCCGACGTGGGGCTCGAACTTACAGCCCTAAGATCAAGAGTCACATGCTCTACCAACTGAGCCAGCCAGGTGCCCCACAGTGAGATTTTTTTTTTTTAATTGAGATACACTTCACATCTATAGAATTCACCCATTTACAGTGTACACTTCATTACATTTTAGTATATTCACAAAACTATGCGACTGTCAACACTATTTAATTCTGGAACATTTTCATCGTCACAAAAAGAAGCTCCTGTGCCTATTAGCACTTGCTCCCCATTTCCCCCTCCTGCGGACTCGCAGTGTGTAATTGACCGTTCAATTTCATGTAAATAGCAATATGTGGTCTTCTGTGCCTGCTTATTCTGTTGAGCATGTTTTCAAGGTTCATTCACTTTGTGACATAGATTAGTGCCTCATTTCTTTTTGTGGGTGGTACTAGCTAATTTTGGAAGTATTTAATTCCCTGAAACTTTGAAACCTTGTTACCCTCCCTGGCTTTCATCCTCATTTTTATATGGGTGAGGACAATATAATTGGGACCTTCCAGGTGATGGGGATTATTTTCTTGAAAGGTGCCAACATAAAATTGTCATGGCTGGATGTACCCTGTTCATCTGAAGAAGACTTAAACTTAGGCAGTGGAGGACAGATGCTTAGAAAGGGAAAAGAAACCAGCTTGTAGCCTTTTCAGTAACTTTAATTTACTTTATATAAGTGCTTTTTTTTTTTTTTAAGATTTTATTTATTTATTTGACAGAGAGATAGACAGAAGAGCACAAGCAGAGGGAGTGGCAGAGGGAGAGGGAGAAGCAGGCTCTGCACTGAGCAGGGAACCCGATGCGGGACTCGATCCCAGGACCCTGAGATCATGACCTGAGCCGAAGGCAGACGCTTAACCATCTGAGCCACCCAGGGGCCCTATAAGTGCTTTTCTAGAAAGACTTTTCCATGACTCATCTGTTTAAAACTTTGTGTGTTTTATTTATTTTTTAGGATTTTATTTATTTGACAGAGAGATAGCGAGAGGAGGAACACAAGCAGGGGGAGCGGGAGAGGGAGAAGCAGTCTTCCCGCCGAGCAGGGAGGCCGACATGGGACTCGATCCCAGGACCCTGGGATCATGACCCAAGCCGAAGGCAGATGCCTAACGACTGAGCCACCCAGGCACCCTTTTATGTGTGTTTTAAAAGCTTAAACTTTTTAGTTAGGTTATATAGAGGAGTTACATTTAAGCTGGATTTTAACACCTCGATGTGATTTTGCTGCTCTTGTAATGGTCAAGTATAAATGCTGACTAGTCAAGTGAGTGCAGACAGAGGTGTGTGTCGATTTAAAAGTTCTTAGTGGAGGGCTCCTGGGTGGCTCAGTCGTTAAGCGTCTGCCTTCGGCTCAGGTCATGATCCCGGGGTCCTGGGATCGAGTCCCACATCGGGTTCCCTCCTCGGCGGGAGGCCTGCTCTCCCTCTCCCACTCCCGCTGCTTGTGTTCCTGCTCTTGCTATCTCTCTCTCTGTCAAATAAATAAATAAAATCTTTAAAAAATAAATAAATAAATAAAAATTAAAAAAAATTAAAAAAATAAAAGTTCTTAGTGGAAGTTTTTAAGATAGGTGCTCCTTTAAAACTTGAGAGGTTCAATGTTTACTAATCAAAGTGTTCTTGGCTCTTAACAGGGATTTTTGCATCATTAAGACAAACCAAACCTTAGCCGAGTGCTTCCAGTGTGTGTCTGAATGTCTGGATTACGGTTTAGGTGATGGTAAAACTGCTTGAAGTTACCGTTTTGTCAAAAAAGCTTTAATAGTACTTACTTTTGTTTGTATAAAGGGATGTTGGTCCCAGTATAGATGTAGCTGGGATTAGAAGGGCACTGGTCCTTTCCCTTTCCGTTTTTACTGAGAAGTCACCAAAGGCCCAGACAGGAAACAGGTGGCCAGGGCCCTGGGGCAAAGAACAGCTCCTATAGGTAGTTGAGCTAGCATGTTCTTTGTAGGTGTCCGCACACATAGTTACATGAAGCACTGGACCCTCATGGTGTCCTGTTCGAAATTAGGTCTTCAAGATTACATAAAAGTTAAAAGGGCTCAGTCAGTTAAGCATCTGCCTTCAGCTCGGGTCATGATCCCAGGGTCCTAGGATCGAGTTCCTCATTGGGCTCCCTGCTCAGCGGCGAGGAGCCTGCTTCTCCCTCTCCTGCTCTCCCAGCTTGTGCTCTCTCTCTCTCTCTCTCTCTCTCTCTGTCAAATAAATAAATAAGATCTTTAAAAAAAGAAGTAAAAAATAAGCTAAACTTTCTGAGAAAAAACTTCATTATGAGTTAGAACAAGAGACCTTCTCTTGTCCTAACTCATTTAAACAGGCAACATTTTTGAAGCTTGTGGGTATGTTTTGAAAGATTACAATTTTGAGTTAGGTTTTCTAGCATCTTGGTCCCCCGCCCCTTCAGCTTTTAGTTAGCTGAAACCAGGCCCTTGGAACTGGGGCCCGGCCTCTCCGCCCAGCGTTTGTCGTCCCCCCTCCTTTAGGGCACTTTGGAAAGGTCTGCATCTCTCCTGTTGACATCCATTGTGGGAACTGCTGGCTACTATTTAAAGGCACTGAAAGTGGGTGCTGCTACCAACCATCTTTAGGACCTCTTTTAAGAGCTGAACCAAATTCTCACGTGTCAACTGCAGCTAATAAACCTGGTGGTGTTGTGGGGAGTATTAGCTGAGAGAGCACAGTGCCTGACACTTAGTAAAGCCACACATCTTGAATGAGTATTCGTAATGATGGTGCAGAAGGCGCTTCAGGGGTACACACTGCAGTTTGGGTCTTTACTCAGAGATTGATGTCTCCTGTTTAGTTTTCTCATTTCAAAAAATTATAAAAAGGGGCGCCTGGGTGGCTCAGTTGGTTAAGCGACTGCCTTCGGGTCAGGTCATGATCCTGGAGTCCCGGGATCGAGTCCCGCATCGGGCTCCCTGCTCGGCGGGGAGTCTGCTTCTCCCTCTGACCCTCCCCCCTCTCATGTGCTCTCTCTTATTCTCTCTGTCTCAAATAAATAAAATCTTAAAAAAAAAAAAAATTACAAAAAGGGTACTTCTAGACACTTCAGAAAATGTAAGAAGTATGCATATGAAAATAAAATTATCTCTGATGTTATCACCCTGTATTTTAATCCCTGTTGGTGACTTCCTGAGTCGTTCCCGTGTATATTTTATAAATGCATTTTCACACTTCATTGTATACATGCTGTTTAATAAAAGTAGAACTACTGTATATGGTTTTTTAATTTTGTGGGCATTTTCCTGTGGCATTCAATATTCTTTATATTTGGAAGCATAATTTTTTTTGAAGTTGTAAGACACTGTATGGTGGGCCACAGTGTTTTGCAAACTTGGCACTGTTGACAGTTTGGGGTAAGTAATCCTTTCCGGTGGGGCACTGTCCTGTGCAGTATCTTATGTTGAACAGTATCCCTGGTCACTACCCTAGCTGCCGGTAGCATCCCCGAGTTGTGACACCAGAAATGTTTCTAGTCATTGCCAAATTCCTCCCCACTTCCCCTTTTGAGGACAACTGGTATCCCGCATACAAACAGACTGTCGTGATTTGTTTCCCTTTTGAATGTTTGGGCTGGCTACAGTTTTCTAGATAGATGACTTAAGTTTTTAATTCCTCATCAGACATTTTCGTGCACACCCATATTGGGGGGATTTCTAGAATAAAAAGTATACACATTTTTGAGGCCAGAACCTGAGCATTATCTGACTGAAAAATTACTTTGTAATTAGGACAAAAGATGGAGGAAGAAGGTACAGAAGACAATGGCCTGGAAGAAGATTCCAGAGATGGGCAGGTATGTGGCGTCCACGGTAGAGACACTAGCAGGAGCTCTGTGACCAGCCACCCGGCCGTTGACGCCTTTCGTTCTCTTGACAGGAGGATATGGATGCAGGTTTAGAGAGCTTGCAGAACCTTGACATGATGGATGTGGGTGTGTTGGAAGAAAGCGAAGTTGAGAATAGCAGTGCTCCCGACTTTGGGGAGGACGGCGCTGACAGCATTCTCGGTTCCCTTTGTGATAGCAAAGAATACGTGGCGGCCCAACTGCAAGAGCTCCCGGCGCAGCTCACAGAGCATGCTGTAGGTAACTTGAAGACATGGTGGAATGTGCCAGTAGCCCCGGGGCTCCTCGGGGCTCCTCAGCGCTCGCGGGCCGCCGCTGGGAGTGAGAGCTCACTGGCGGTTGATTAAGTAGTGCACCACCGCGTCAGCAGTCACCAAAAACACGGAGTTCCGTGTCTAAAGCCTCATGGTAAATTATATCCATTTAAACTGCACGTAAGTCAGAGGTTAACGAACGGCTCACTTCTCTACGATCCCGGGGAGTATTTTGATAAAAGGGTGGGAGGCCCTTCCGCAGCATGAATCGTAAAAGGCTGACACTGTTGGTGGAAGTATTTTCCTTTGGAAAACAGGAAACAGAAAACAGTTGATAATCTCAGCATTCGGTCATCCTGTTGGTTTTTTTTTTTAAGATGTGCTTTAGGTACAAGGTTAGATGGTTCTATTAAAAGACGGGAAAGAGTGAAGGAAAGTATTCGTGCCCTCAGAAGCACCCCTCCCGTGAAAAGAAAACCACGCTTAATGGCCTAGTATATAAAGGAGAGCTTGAATTCTGTTACCAATATTGCTTTTTCAAGCTTTCGCTTGTAGTATTTGGCAGAGAACTCTGGTGGCCATCCTAAAACTGATTGCCATTTTAATCTTACTACCTTGGCATACTCAGCCTCTTAGTTTTTTGTGTTTTGGTTTGGTTTTCTATTCTCTCTCTCTCTCTTTTTTTTTTTTAAAGGCACTAAGCTGGGCAGGGGGAAGGGGGGCCCTTGTAGGACTGGACTTTAAACATTAAAGGTTCAAAAGTCAACAAACTCCAAACGTCACTGCCCCTCAGCCTAGGGTGCCATTGAGCAACTGACTTGCTGGTCTTGGCCTCTCTCAGTGTGATCCTGTTGTGTGTTAATTATTTCCAGAGCATGGACTTGGCTTCTTACCTTTTGGTTAATCCAAGCATCCCGGTCATAAGCTTCAAACCTGGGAAAGGAAAAAAAAATACATTTGAGAAGGCATGTTTTTGTATTTCACTCAAGAAGGTAAAAACCTGTCAAATCGAGTGACATTTAAGAGTAGTTCAGTTAAATGTTTTAAATAAAGCACCTTAGGTGAAAGTGCCCAGTTACTGTTATTTTTCAAAGTATCGTTGCCAAGTAAAATCGGAGAAGTGTGAAGTTTTTCCTTTTGCTTTTGAGCTCTGCTCTGGAAATCGTGTCCGGGTCACATATGTGGACCACCAGGAAATAGACGCTGCCTGGGAACTGAAAGTGTACCTTCCTGGGCCAGTGCTGACCGAGCACCTGCTGTCTGTGAGACCCTCTCAGGGGTGCAGTACCGCCCAGTCATGGAGCAGTCAGGAAGGCCGGCGAGAAACCGAATAATCCAACAGTGGACTTGTAGATGATGGTGGGCAGCTTGAGGGAAGTAGACACGTGGGCCCCTTAGAAACTGGTGAGGTGCAGGTCTTGGAATTCACAGCTCTGTCTCCACTACGTGGTTCTCTGTTTTGTCTTTCAGGTGGATGGGGAGGGCTTCGAGAACACTTTGGATGCTTCATCATTGGACTTCAAAGTACCTCCGGTAAGATACCATTCTGGTGCTCCCTGGCTGGAAACATTATGTGAGCGGTTGATTTTCCATGGTGAAAAAGGATGTGTGTCTGTGTAGAAATGATTCTGTGTAAAAATGATTCGTAAAATGAGCTGAGTGCCTGGGGTAAGAGGTTGAGCCAAACAAGTACAGTCCTACTGTTTGCATTCGGTAGGGACAGTGTTCATAACCAGCAAGAAAATGACTAGAAAAGTTCGAGGGAGAAGTTGAGGTGATTGGGCCGTAGGGCTCTCAGAGGAAACCCCACTCAAATTGAGGTCTGACCCATGGGTCTGGAGTTAGCCCAGTGAAGGGGAAAAGAGGACCTTGGGCAAGGAGGGAGAGTGGCTGAATGTAGGGACGGAGGACACAGGGTGGGGGCAGAGACGCAGGGGTGAGGTTGCAGACGTGGATGGGCCTGACTGCCCGCGTCTGTGGGTCGGGGAAAGGGTTTGGCCCATTGTCTTAAGTACAGTGGGAAGTCAGTGGAAGGTTTTGGGAGGAGTGAACAGATGGTTTTGTTGACAGGTTCCAGTTATAAATAACAGCTTATTTGGGGAGAAATCGATCTCAAATCTGGTATGACATACAAAACATTCGCCGTCTGTGCGACCTCTTGCTGTGGCTGTCTTTGCTCTCTCCGGAGGCCACTAGGTCAGCTCAGACTTGGGGTGGGGTGGCCAGACCCTCCAGGGAGAATTGAACAGGCCGAGTGTCACTGCTGCCTGCCTGGCTTTGCTGGGGAGAGGCCAACAAAATGGGCTTGTCCTCACCGAATCATCCCAGAATGGAATATGGTCGTTTTGAGTGGAGAGAGTTATTTGAAACAGGTGTTTATTCACATGTGATTGAAGCTGTGTCTGCCAGGGAAGTGTATTTGCCCAGTTTTTAAGTACTTTATGGAATTTTTTTCTCTTTTCTTTTTTAAAACAGGATATTGAAGAACCTCTATTGGAGCCAGGTACTGATAAGAGAAACACGACAGTTAATGGTTTGAAAGTTTTCCCACTCTTTTTTTCAATCTATCTATATATTCTAAGCTGTGTATGGTCGCGTAAATGATTTTAATGGTGGACAATCCAGATCGTACAAGGATCAGAGATTGGAAACCCACTCGTATCACCAGATCTGTGGAAGTGCCGTTCTGGTTTCTGGAGGTCAAATATATTTGGTGAGATGTAGTGATTATTTTCATCTCTCTAACCACGTAGAGGGGCATTTAAGTAATTCCCCCAGTGATTCTTCCATGTGTTTCTACACATGAAACAGATCTTGTGATATTTTGCTGCAGTCTTTTTGATTACTACAGTTAAGGCAGGATAAAGTGGTTGTCAGGGCACTTATAACCCGAGAAGTGACTGGATTCCAGAAGAGGAAACAGAGTCTCTTCAGGAAAATTTTCAACGCATTACTCCCCTTGTGGACTGCGTTTATCTCCCACCTTGGAAGAGTTTCTGGTTTGCGTATTGGACTGTTCTGTTAAAAGAAATTCAAAGAAATTTGGAAATTGAGTTGTCATCAAATGGCGATCGCATTCGGTTCGGCACCTTGGACATTGGAAAACTAAGTCTGAAGACCCACACTTGAACAAAAACAGGAAGAAGACTGTCGAGAAGCAGCCATGTGGTTGTAGGTGTTTGAATCTGTGGGGGCCTTTTCTCTTCCATGTAGCGTAGCGGCTTCCTGTAGCAGTCGGTTGGAGCGCAGGTAGTGTAAACCGGTGTAACTTTGTGTACCCGCGGGTTTTCCAATCTCTGTGTAGCTAGCAGTTCTCTTCGTGTTAGTGTGGCAGCCGTGCCAGTTCCGCATTTGTGATTGCTTTATTTCCCTGGTAATTAAACCTTGTGCCATTCTATTCCTGTTAAATCCGTAGAAAATGAGAAAATACTCGACATTTTGGGGGAAACTTGTAAATCTGAGCCAGTAAAAGAAGAAGGTTCCGAGCTGGAGCAGCCCTTTGCACAGGATACAAGTAGCGTGGGGCCAGACAGAAAGCTTGCGGAGGAAGAGGACCTTTTTGGCAGCGCCCATCCGGAGGAGGGTGATTTAGATTTGGCCAGCGAGTCAACAGCACAAGCTCAGTCGAGCAGGGCAGACACCCTGTTAGCGGTAGTGAAAAGGGAGCCCGTGGAGCAGCCAGGCGATGGCGCGCGGACGGACTGTGAGCCTGTAGGGCTAGAGAAGCCAGTTGAGCAGAGTAGTAAAGCCTCAGAGCACACGGAAGCCTCTAGCGAGGAGGCCGCGGAAGCGCCCCCGGAAGCCTCAAGCCCAGGCCCCAGAGATAGCAAAGAAGACGTGAAGAAGTTTGCTTTTGAAGCTTGTAATGAAGTCCCTCCGGCTCCTAAAGAGTCCTCAGCCAGTGAGGGCGCTGATCAGAAAATGAGGTTTGTTTTTTCTCAGTTTTAGACCAGACGCTATCTCCTTTTCATTGGTCATTTAATGACACACATAAGCTGTTTTTTCTGCAATTGGCCAGCCAGACTGATGCAATTGTAGTTTACTTCTAAACCATGTTTTATTTCTCGTTGTGTATTTCTAATGGGTGAATCTATTTCTTTTCTTTTTCTCAACCTACTATGGTTGTGTTCTTAAATTGTTAACAGCTATCTTCAGCTAAATCCAATTGACTTTTAAGAATCTGACATGGTATTTTGGGGGTCACATTGCCTAGAGAAGCTTGCAAAGGTGTCTTAAAATTTTATTTCAGACTAATTTTCTGGTAGGTATTCAGTTTTTAGCACATACCATACTTTTAATTTAGTTGTCTTTCATTTTGTTCCCGTCTGAGTAACGTTCGCTTTTGTCTCTAGCTCTTTTAAGGAAGAAAAAGATATAAAGCCAATCATTAAAGATGAAAAAGGTATGATTTAATTTATGTGGCAGGGAGCCGCCTACGGATCCCTTATTTGGGGAGGGAGGGGCTTACAGGTACCCACACTGGGGATCCGGTGGTTGGTTTCATGGAGGATTACTGGAAGTAACCATCTAACAGTATCTTGAGAGACTAGATTGAAATGTTGGTGAGCTTCTGTGGTTTATGTCTCTGTTGTGGTTTTCATTTATGGGATAGTGAAAATCCCAGTGCACCGCATCCTATTACAGTCCCATTCTGCCCGTTAGAATAACAGAACAAGATTGCAGAAACTGCCATCCCGGTTGAGAATTGGTCATCAAAATTCATTTCCGTTTGTAAATGACGAGGACCTGATGATTCCTTGAGTAAGGGAACGGTTTCTGCAACCTGTATTTTTTGTCTTCCATCCTGAAATGCTTAGACCAGAAGAGTTGAAGTGGGAGGTAGCTGGGGTCTAAGAGCGGGCTGCGTCCTGAGGCAGGTCGTGCTCCTATCTGGCCTGGAGGCCAAGCCTGACCCTCTCCCTCCTGCAGCAGGTCGCACCAGCAGCAGCTCTGGCCGGAACCTGTGGGTCAGTGGACTGTCCTCCACAACTCGAGCGACGGATCTGAAGAACCTTTTCAACAAGTATGGGAAGGTGTGTGCCCCGCCCCCCCCCCCCCCCCAACTTCTCGCCACCCAGCCTCTGTTTGGCGTTAAATAATGAACTCAAGACTATGGAGAGTTCTTTCTTCTATTGTTAGTTTTGTTGGTGGTCTTTTCTGTGTGTGTGTGTGTGTCTATGTGTCTATGTTTTTCCCTTTAAAAAAACAAAACCACGAGGGAGAAAAGGCTCACCTGGTTTTGGGTAGTGTGCCTTGTTTCTTCGCTGAGAGTGGGTAATAGGCAGCAGATAGTTCATCGTGTCACAGAAAATGTATATAAATAGCTACGTCTGAACGTTCTTCTAATTTCTCTTAAACTGCTCATTTTTTGGCTTATACAAAACTTAAAGCTGGCATGCTGAATTTTTTTTTCCCAAACAATAAGTGAAGAGTTGGCTTTTAATATTCCTGCATTTTTAAATACGTAGCTCGAGAACAGGAACATATTGGGTTAAAAATAAATCAACAAAGACTTGGTCCACAGGGGCAGAAAGAAAACATTACCATTCAGAAGCCTTGCAGGGACTCGAGGACATTTAAAACCCAGTTTTCGTTGTCCTGGAATTAGATGGTGAAACAGTCTCACCTTCAGCCAGGAGGACCACCCTGGTCCTGTGGGTGCCTGTGGGGGCTTGGCGCCCCTTGTCAGGGAGGAGCTGCAGGGAGTCCAGGCGGAGCTTTGCTGGATGTCCTGGCTGCCGTGGGCATTTCTCTGCCCAGGTCTGTATCCCCGAGTAGGAGTTGGCGAATGTGTTTGTGACTTAAGTGGACAGGACCCAGAAGAAGCATTCATGAGGTGAATATTTCTTCACGGCGAATGTCTTTCAGAAGGGCTTAAAACTGGGAAGCTGCAACCCGTCCTCAGTGTTTGTTGACTTCCTTCTTGATTGAGGCACCAGTTGTGAAGCGTAGCCGCTATGAGGGCGCTGGCCTAGATCTTACAGGCTGCTGGAGAGAGCATTTAAGTAAATACAGCATGTGACGAGGGATTCATTCAGGGACGTTACAGCCTGCCATCAGTGTGTGGGAGGGAGACCGAGTTTAGATGGGGGTCTGGGGTTCAGCGCACCTTGCTGAGTAAGTGCTCTTTAAGCCGAAGCCTGAGTAATGATAGAGTTGGCCCTGCCCACAGAGCTCGGCATTGAACTAAAGCCGTGGGACTTAGGCCCAGTGGTGGGACGAGTCTGTAATTTGGATGAACTGATCAGGGATGCCTGAGTGGCTCAGTTGGTTGGGCGTCTCCCTTTGGCTTGGGTCATAATCCCAGGGTCCTGGGATCAAGTCCCATATCGGGCTCCTTGCTCAGTGAGGAGCCTGCTTCTCCCTCTGCCTGCCGCTCTCCCCACTTGTGCTCTCTCTCTCTTTTTCTTACAAATAAATAAACTCTTAAAAAAAAAAAAAAAAGATGAACCCATCAAAGGCTGCTGTGAAGGTGGAGGGCAAGGCCAGGGGCCCAGGGACAGGTGAGGTGGTCTTGGATTTTGCTCTCAGGGCCGTGGGAGGTGATGTCTTTGCAAGGATAATTAGGTTGATGGGAAGGTCATGTGATCCTGTCTGGCTCAGCCCCCTGACCTTGAAGAGAAGGAAGAAGGGGAAGCTTCCTCTCTGAAAGAAGTGACTCTCTCAGGAGAGTCTGTCCCCTTTGGCCCTGTATGGGGTGATGTGGACAGAGGGGGGCTTTCCTCTGCAGGGAGAGCAGGCTCCTCCATATCTGCAAGTGGAAACATGGACACCAGGGTCTGCTGGGAACGTGAAGATGATGGACTGCCCCACCCCCACCCCCCTGTTGTCTCACAGCTGGGGACCCTGAGGTCCAGAGAGAGGAGAGGCCTTGCTCACGTTGACGTACTGAATCACAGCTGGTCAGAGCCAGACCCTCTAGGGCTCTTGTGTCCTGATCAGGGGCTCTGCACTTTCACTGGTGCTGGCTCTACGTTCAGTTCTCTAGAATGTCCTACGGGAACATTTACGTTTAACGCGAGCATCATATAGTGGGGTTTAAATCTGCCATCTGGCTCCCTGTCTGCTCTCTGTTCTGTTTCTTGGATCCCTTGCTTCTCTGTATTTCCTGCCTTTTGAATTGAGTTTTTTTTTTTTTTTTAAGATTTTATTTATTTGACAGCAACAGCCAGAGAGGAAACACAAGCAGGGGGAGCGGGAGAGGGAGAAGCAGGCTTCCCGCGGAGCAGGGAGCCCGACGTGGGGCTCGATCCCAGGACCCTGGGATCAGGACCTGAGCCGAAGGCAGACAGACGCTCAACGACTGAACCACCCAGGCGCCCCAGTGCAGACTTTTTTTTAAGATTTTATTTATTTGATAGATAGCAAGAGCAGGAACACAAGCAGGGGGGAGTGGGAGAGGGAGAAGCAGGCTTCCCGCTGCGCAGGGAGCCCCATGTGGGCCTCCATCCCAGGACTCTGGGATCATGACCTGAGCCGAAGGCAGAAGCCTAACTACTGAGCCACCCAGGCGCCCCTGTGTTGAGTATTTTTTATGATCTGTCACTTATTAGCTGGAACTAGTTTATGTCACTAGTGTTGCTGTATTCTGGTTTCTTGAGGGGTAAAGTCCGCTTGCTTATTTGAGTTTTTTGTGTTTCTTGATGTGGGCATCTATCCCTGTGAACTTTGTTCTTAACTGCTGTTACTGCGCCCCATAGGTTTTGCTGTGTTACAGTTCCTTTTCATCTGTCTCAAGGTATTTGTCTTTTGGTTTCTTCTTTGAGCCGTTGGTTGAACTATAACGTTTTCTTTGCTATCTGCGTATAGGAATTCTATTACAAGGCTTAATGCGGTCTGTCCTTCAGTGATGAAAATTCCAGTTCCCAGGGGGCGTTTGAACCTGATAACGTGCACCGCCATCCTTCCCTCCCAGCCTTTGTGGTGGTGGTGTCACGGCTTTAATAAACAGCATAGTACATTCTTGGTTCGTTGATATGTTGGTTGGTTTGGATTTTGGTGTGTTTGTGTTTTTTTGTTTTTTTTCATTTTTTGGTGTTTTTTGTTTTTGTTTTTGCTTTAAACATTTATCTTTTAAAGAGATACATAAATAAGAAAAAGCATGGGCTCTTTGTTAACTCCATGTTTATGTTTTGGGGTGCTCTTTACTCCCTCTTGTTGATATCTAAGTTCCCATTGGGTATTGTTTTCCTCCCTCTTTAAACTTTTCTTATCGTACAGTGTTGCCAAGGATGAATTTCTGCTGCTTTTGTAGATCTGAAAATTATTGAAAATTATTCTTTCGCCTTCACTTTGAAAGCTGTTTTTGCTGCATGCAGAATTGTGGGGTTGGTTATTTATTTATTTATTTTTGGTCCAGACAGCAGTGGTGCTCCCTCCTTCTGGCTCATGTTGGCTAACCAGTTGGCTCTGGGTTTCACCTTTGCTCCTTAGGGCACAGGTGTCTTTCTTGTCTGGCTTACCTGGAAGGTTCTCTTTATCACTGGTTTGGAGCAGTTCATGCCACAGATGTGCTATGGTTTCATCCGCTAAGGTTTTCTGTGCTTCTTTTGACGACGCCACAGGTGGTCCTACAGCCCACTGATGTTCTGGTTCTGTTTTGGTTTGTTTCCATCTTTTTTCCTCTGTTTCATTTCGAGTAGCTTCTGTTGCTATGTCTTCCAAGTTCCCTCATCTTTTTTTTTTTTTTTTTGCAGTGTCTGCTGTCCGTCCCATCTCATGTATTTTTCATCTCCAGACTTTGGGGTTGGGTGTTTTTAAATATCTTCTCTGTGTTTACCTAACATGCTCCGTGGTTTCTCCTAACTTGTTGAACATTTAGGATATAGCTAAAATAACTTTTAATGTCATCATCCACTAATTCTGTTACTGGAGTGCATTCTGGATCTCTTTATTGGTTGGTTGGTTTTCTTCATTAGAGTCATTTTCTCATTCCTTGGTTTACCTAGTCATTTTTGATCGGACACCAGGCGTTCTAGTTATTCGTGTGTCCCTGTCAGTGTCCTTGAGCTCTTGCTGGGACATAGTTCAGTTACTTGTTCCTCCCCAGGTTGCTATTAGGCTTCTTTAGGTGAGCAGAGCAGCCTTAATTTGGGGCTAGCTTTGTGCACTTCCAGGGCAGCACCCTTCTGAGGTCTCAGCCTGATGCCCTGTGAATTGCAAGCTTTTCCATTCCGGCTGCCATTCCGGGTTCACTCTGGAAAAAGTGAATTATTTGAGACTCTGAGCCTGGGGATTATTTGCTCTTAACAGGTGGTTTTCTCCCTTGCCTCTGACACGTGTGCTGCTTAGAGGGCCCTTTGTAGCGCTCTGGGGCTGTCTTTATGCAGCACTTCCTCTCCGGTACTATGATTTCTTCAGACATTGAGCTGTGCTCAGCTCTCGGATACCACCTCCCACCCTTACCTCAGGTCCTCTTCCCTGCCCTTGGCTGGGAACCTCTAGGAAGTAAGCCAGGGCAACCATACGTGTGTGTGTCCCTTGCAGGGGTCACCGTCCTGTGTGGCCTGGTGTACAGTGTCTGAAAACCCCGGTTGCCTACATTTCCTCTAATTTGCGAGGTTTTTTAGGCAGCAGGGGGGTAATGCTTGGTGTGTCAACCTGTCTGGAAGTCGAGATCCAATTGGAGAAAATGATCCAAGTGGGCAGTACTTTTGATTAATGAGTTGTGGTTTGTGGAGTTTTAAATGTCTTTAGCTGGGACGCCTGGGTGGCTCAGTTGGTTAAGTGTCTGCCTTTGGCTCAGGTCATGATCTCAGGGTCCTGGGATCGAGTCCCGCATCGGGCTCCCTGCTCCTCAGGGAGCCTGCTTCTCCCTCTGCCTCTGCCTCTCTCTCTGTCTTTCATGAATAAATAAATAAAATCTTTAGGGGGGAAAAAAAAGTCTTTAGCTTTCCCTGTTCGTCTTTTGTCACTCTGAGGGCTGATCTTGTATTGTATCGGAAGCAATTGTATTTTGATAGTCAGGATGAGGTAGAACCACTTTAATAACTAATTATGGCAAACCAACAATTTGTGGAGAAGTAAAAACTAGTGGAAAGAATTCTGATGATCAGGTAACTGGTAGTCATTTTTGACAAATCGTGTGGTGATTTATATGGGAAGGTAAGCGTGTCCTTTCTCATGAAGGTTGTTGGGGCCAAAGTGGTGACCAACGCCCGCAGTCCCGGAGCTCGGTGCTATGGATTTGTTACCATGTCGACATCTGATGAAGCTACAAAGTGCATCAGCCATCTCCACAGAACTGAGCTGCATGGAAGAATGATCTCCGTAGAGAAGGTGAGGTGACTCTTGCCTGTTATAACCTATCGAGTTCACGAGCGAGGAGACCAGGACCATGGGCCATTTCTAATCTGTGTTGTATTTTAGGCCAAAAACGAACCTGCTGGGAAAAAGCTGTCTGACAGGAAAGAATGTGAAGTGAAGAAAGAAAAATTATCTAGTGTTGACAGACATCATCCTGTGGAGATCAAAATTGAAAAGTAAACTGATTATTTAAAACCTTTCTCTTAAGCTTTCTCTCAGGGTGCGGGGGTGGGCTGGTCGGGAAGAGGGTAGGTGGCAGCCACAGGGTCACTCAGGCAAACTCGTGTCCTCCTTGCCGCAAGCAGCCTCATTGGCTTCTCACTTACGTATCATATTTGTGCATCTTGCTACCACTTACGTGTTCAGGTTTCAGTAAGGGTCCCTGCGATGTAACCCGTAACTCTCAAAAGTGTATTCACAGGAGCCTTAGTAAGTATTTACGTCCAAACGACTTAGTGGGCTGTTGAAAGAAAATAACACATCTGAAAGGAAAGAATAATAATTTTACTTCACTCAGAGTTCTGGGTCCTTGCACAGCCACTCATACCATGGAATTGTTTCCTGACCCAGACTGGTGTTCATGCAGTCCTTGTTTTTTATCACAGGAACGCAACCCAATCTAATGTTGAAAAGAATGACCTCAAGCTAGTAGTTTGTGCAGTGTCAGGCAGTTGTCAACTATTGCTGTGTTTCCCTCAAAAATATAAGATATCCCGGGATACCTGTGAGTTTCCTGTGGCACCCGTGGGGTACCTTGGCACAGAACTTTGGGATCTCTGGGTCTGAGATACCATCTATAAAGGATGGAAATTGGGACAGGTTTTTCAGAGCAGGATTGCTTGCTAATTTTCTCAGAGTCGTCGGTGTATCCTCTGGAGAAGGTAGATTTTGGTGATGTTCCTGATGGTGGTACAATTCTCAGGGCTGAGTACATTAAGTTTATATTGTCAGTACCATTTACTTGCCCTTCTAGGGCCACTTTCACTCCAAAGATTGAACCCTTTGCTGAGAATCTGTCAGTCTCAGTGATTCCATTTTGCCATTGTTTCTTATATTAAGAAAACGTACAGTCGAGCGAATGTGTGGACTTCCTTAATACTCCTAAGTTTACAACTCCCATTCTGAAAGGTATAATTGCCAGTCTTCATTCCAAATTGGAATCTGTTGGCCCATGAGCAATGGATGTCAGATTAGCCTTCGTGTATTTACAAGCGAGACCTGTAATTTTATCAGCAGCTTCTCCAAAGAGATGTGTTCTATCAGCAGTGCTAAAAAAAAAAAAAAAGAAAGAAACAAAAACAAAAAAACCCTGTATTTGTAGAATATTGGTAGCTCTTCAGAGTTGTTCAGAGTTCTTGGTGTTTTGGAATGCATCTTTATTGATTTTCTGACCACACGGTGAGACGTGTTTGCGGGAGAAAGGAAGGGGGGTAATAACTAGCTCACCTGCATCAGGTGGTTCGATTGATCCCTGGAAGGGTCCTAGGTCACAGAGGGAATAGGCTTCAGAAAGAGACGTGCCCGGCTAAAGAGCACCCAGTCCAGCGAGGAAGTGGCAAGGCCAGGATTCGGTCTGGGCTGGCTGCCCCCAGCACTGGGGCACATAACCAGGTGATGAACTTGGTATGTTTAAAACCAAACTGCCTTCAGGTGGTCTGACTGGGAGGTTGAGCATTTCAAAATATGTTTTAACCATATTTTTTTCTTCCAGTAAACCTTTGTTTGTTAACCTTTTCTTTGACTTTAAGAATTTCTAGGTTCAGGGCGCCTGGGTGGCTCAGTCATTAAGCGTCTGCCTTCGGTTCAGGTCATGATCCCAGGGTCTTGGGATCGAGTCCCACATCGGGCTCCCTGCTTGGCAGGAAGCCTGCTTCTCCCTCTCCCACTCCCCCTGCTGTGTTCCTGCTCTCGCTGTCTCTCTTTCTGTCTAATAAATAAATAAAATCTTTTAAAAAAAAAATTTTTTTTTCTAGGTTCAGGGACGCCTGGGTAGCTCAGTCAGCTCGGGTCGTGATCCTGGGGTCTTGGGATCAAGTCCTGCATCGAGCTCTTTGCACAGCGGGGAGCTTGCTTCTCCCTCTGCCTGTTGCTCCCCCTGCTCTTGTGCACGCTTTCTGACAAATAAAATCTTAAAAAAAAAATTTCTAGGTTCAGTAGTCAACCTAAGTGAAAAATTAGAAACACTTTTCCAAAGAAGTGGCTCGTCTTCCCCGAGTTGGGTGAGTGGTGATTTATATATAGTTCACATTTGGAAAGTCCACACAAATGTCAAGCATAATCCCACTACCCAAGGGTGACCCTCTTTTGTGTATATTTCTCCAGCCTTTGTTCATACTCTCATGTTTGTATTTTAGAAATTAGTTTTAACTTGGTGTTACAGGAGGTTGCTTTGTGTCTAGGCGGTGCCATGTGAGTACAGAACAACCAGGGGGTCTCCTTGGAGAGAGAAGGCACCACCCCAGAATAGTGGGAGACGCACATCAGATGTAATTCATTGTGGCTTTACTTGCAGCCATGTAGTCACCGCAAGCCATCACTGTTCCTCTTAGAAGGGACACGGACGGCTGTAGCCGTTGAGGGGGAACCAGATCCGCGTGTATTACCCACAACAAAGCTGAGGGGAGAAGTGCTATAGTGCAGCATGCTGAGTGCCGTCCCAGCCTCGCGGGGCCTCACAAAGCATAGGCACGGGCGGTGGAGCCCAGTCATTGACAGTAAAGGCCATTCAGTAAAGGTGGTCGTCCCAGGGAAATTGTTTGAATAAGTTGACGCACCTACAGTGTTAGGGATTTTGTGTTTTTTTCTTTTTTCTTAAGCAAAACCAATACGCTAAAAAAAACCAGTTCTTGATCCTGGTACACACCATCAATTATTATGGTATGTGTTTACAGTTTAAAATATTGGGGGCGCCTGGGTGGCTCAGTTGAGTGTCCAACTTCTGCTTTTGGCTCAGGCCATGATCTCAGGGTCGTGAAATCCAGCCCCTTCAGGCTCCGCGCTTAGCAGAGTCTGCTTGGGATTCTTTCCCTCTGCCCCTCCCTCTGTTCATTTTCTCTCTCAAATATTTATTTTATTTATTTATTTTTTTAAAGATTTTATTTATTTATTTGACAGAGACACAGCGAGAGAGGGAACACAAGCAGGGGGAGTGGGAGAGGGAGAAGCAGGCTCCCCGCTGAGCAGGGAGCCCGATGCGGGGCTCGATCCCAGGACCCTGGGATCATGACCCGAGCCGAAGGCAGCCGCTTAACCGACTGAGCCACCGAGGCGCCCCTCTCAAATATTTATTTAAAAAAAAATTTATTTTTACTTTTATTTTTTTTAAGATTTTATTTATGTATTTGACAGAGAGAGACACAGAGAGAGAGGGAACACAAGCAGGGGGAGTGGGAGAGGGAGAAGCAGGCTTCCCGCCGAGCAGGGAGCCCGATGCAGGGCTCGATCCCAGGATCCTGGGATCATAACCCGAGCCGAAGGCAGATGCTTAACAACTGAACTACCCAGGTGCCCCAATTTTTTTTTTTTAATAAAGTTTTTTTGGGGGCACCTGGCTGGCTCCATCGGCGCATTCCGACTCTTGATCTCACTTAGAGTTGTGGGTTCAGGCCCCACATTGGGTATAGAGATGACTTAAAAATAAAAAAAAAAATTTTTAAGGTTTTTTTAAAGCGAATATTATTTTAATTTTTTTTTTTTTTTAAGATTTTACTTACTCATTTGAGAGGGAGAGGGCATGAACACAAATCGGCAGGGAGGGGAAGAGGGAAAGGGAGAAGCAGACTCCAAGCTAAGCACAGAGCGAGATGCAGGGCCCGATCCCAGGACCCTGAGATCACGACCTGAGCGAAGGCAAATGCTTAACCTACTGAGCCACCCAGGTGCCCCAAAGTGAATATTATTTTAAAGACAGCTCCGGGGTGCCTGAGTGGCTCATTCGGTTAAGCATCTGACTCTTTGTTTTTGGCTAAGGTCATGATCTCCAGGTTTTTGAGATTGAGCTCCAGGTCAGGCTCCACGCTGGGCATGGAATGTGCTTAGGATTCTCCCTCTCTTCCTCTGCCCCCGACAGACAGACACACACACCACTCTCCAAACATACACACACACACTTGCGCGCGCACACACTTGCGCGCGCACACACCCCCACACCCTCCCCCCCAAAAAAAAGCTTTGTACTGTGGAATTTGAGAGAGGAAGAATGAGCTGAGAGGTTTCTTTGGACAGCCTGAGCTCTGCCTGGGTTGTAGGGAAGAAAGGGCAGGGAGCACTGGTTAGGGAACCCTGAGGGGCCTGGCTTTCCCGTCCTGGACCCTGGCACATGGCGGGCATTTAATAAGTGTGGGATTTAATTACCCGGGACAAACAGCATTAGGGAATATGGGAGACAAGTGTGAGTGGCAATGATGATTTAGTTCACCGCGTAGAATAAAGCTGCCTTCAGCTGAAGTGTTACTAACAGTTTCCACATGAGCTGGAACGTAGCCATCTTAACTCCCCCAGAGTATGCAGAAGTGACCAGGTGCAGTGTTCAGGGTGGATGGCCCACTGCTTCATGTAGCAGGCACCTCGCATCCTCATGCTGTACCTCTGTTCTATTTTATACTGAATTTATTTGGAAAAAAACTTAAAAATTCCACCTGGAGTGAAACACTTAAAATCAGTTTTTTGCAAGCATTCTTCTCTAGTTGGGAGTGTCTCTCGTGTGCCCGTGTGCTGTCTTGCAAACCACTGCATCGAGCAGTTCGGAAAACTGTCCATGAGCCTGCAGTTCCGTGCTGCATATTTCTAGGTGTAGCAGAGAACTCCGGGGGGAATAAGGGCTGTGTCTCGAGCGGGTATTAGATCATCACGGCAGCTTCCCAGTAACTATTCCCGTCCACTTGCTGCCCGGCTGGCTGGTTGTGTATGGAAGTCAGTAAGTGTGAGCTGCTGCCAGAGTCCCAGGAACTCAAGTGTGATGACCGTGTTTTTAAATAGAACTGCGATTAAGAAGGAGGAGAAGATGGAGAAAAAGGAGGAAAAAAAGCCTGAAGACATTAAGAAGGAAGAAAAAGACGAGGATGAGCCGAAACCAGGACCTACAAATCGGTCCCGAGTCACCAAATCAGGTGAGCAGCACCTGCCCAGGGCTCCCCAGGAGAGTAGAGCCTGGTGGGAGGGGCTGGGGGGGTGTCATGGAGTGAGCCAGTGAGGGCGGTGTGCCTGGGCTGACTGTGGGCTCTGTTGATCGGCAGCTGATAAAGCAGCAGGGCCTCAGGGGATGACTGGCTTGAAGGAGTCTCTGGTGACATCACACACCTGGAGGTGTTCCGCTTCGTGATTTATGGTCACTGGCGGCTCAGGGACCGGGCTGCTTGCTCTTCCTGCGTACCTTTGGCAGATGTGCGAGGGAGAGGTGTCCTGGTTCTTGTCACAGATTTGATGCTGTTCTGCAGCTTGTTCCGCACCTTCAGATTGCCATGAGGCACCACAGAATGTTTTGTGGAGAAAACAAAACCCAGTTCTCCCCGCCCCTCCCCCCCAGTAAAACAAACAAAACTCAGCCATCTGGAGCCTTGGAATTTGGTACAGCGCATTACAAATTAGATCTTAAGTGTTTGGGGTAATTTACTGGCAGTCTCATGAGGAACGCGTTTTTAAAATGTTTCTCAAGTATTGCGAATCTCCCCAAATCAGTAATAGTCATGGTGGTTAAGAGTTTGGTTATTGTGTCATCGAGGGGAAGAACCCATTTGGAAGCCTTTATTGCTGTATATGAATGAAGGGAAGCCCAGCCATCTGATTCAGAACACAAGGGCCTGAATTCTGCAGAGCTTTCCAGAATGTGGAGGAGGACTAAAAAATGGAAATTGGTTATCCTGGAGCCACTAGGTTTGAGCATGCGGGTAAAGGAAGCTGGTGGGTTGGATGTGTTTGTGTTGCAGAATGCACCTTGACTTAGATTTACATTGTAAGATTCGGGGAAATCACAGCCACTTCATCCCAGGTGAGCAAAGACCTGTGAAGGTACACCAGCTGCTTCGTGTCCGTAATGTGCGCTGCAGGTCAGAACGAGGAGAGAGAGGAGGTGCGGAGGCTCCAGGGGTTCGCATGAGTCCCTAGAGGGAGCAGCGAGAACCCCCAGTCAGCCCGTGCGCTACCTGCTGTCGGGAAGTGGGGGCATCAGCGGGTTTTCAAAGATTGCTTTTTTTTTCCTGAAGGAAGCAGAGGAATGGAACGGACGGTCGTGATGGATAAATCGAAAGGAGAGCCTGTCATTAGCGTGAAAACCACAAGCAGGTCAAAAGAGAGAGTAAGTATTGCTTCCTCCCCAAGTCCGGCGGATTTGTGGGTGGTTTAACGACCACTTTGATTTGCATTATGAAAACAACGTTGTCTCACCTTTAAAAGTTGAAGAGTTTTTGAAGTGCTCAGAAGGCATGTTATTAACTGTTTCGATTGTACGTACACACACAGAGTTAGGTTCTACAGCTTATTTCAAAACAATACTTAATGTTTTTACTTTCCCTGATGGGGTGACCCTTCGCGGGTTCTTCGTCGGATTATACCATCTTTTTGAAAGGAAACCGGTTCACAGAAAGCCCACCATTGGGTAGGATGGGCAGGACCCAGGCTGTTCAAGTCAGAAGGCAGGCTCTGCTCCTTGGTTGACCTAGTGCTAGTTGATTCACTTCTTCTCTTGATTTGTTCGTCTTCTGTGACATTAACGGGAAAGAAAAGAGTCCACTGCAAAACCGACTTTGATGTTGTCAGAGAATGGACCTCCATTTCTTAAGCGGTACACAGCTGGACAAACTAGTGGCTTCTCATTTTGTTTTTTTCCACCCTGGAAAACAAAACCTTCTGCTTACCAGCTGAAGGTTCTAGCTGAAACATTCCCGAGGAGAGCTGTCCTCTTGGAGCGAACGCAGAGCTATCGGTATTCATCCAAGAACATTTTGTTGTGAAGGACTGACTTTTGAAATGAAAACTTGTGTTCTCGAATACACTCATTCATAATGTCTTACGGGCTACGTGAAAACCATAAAAAGAACTATAAAAATAGAGAAATCTAAAGAAAGCCCCCCCAAAAACCCCATAAACTTACCACCGGAATAACTCTGGAGTTAGAAAAAATAAATAGTAATAAAGTGTGCTTGATTAGAACCTTGAGGTCATGTAGGAGGATGACAGCATAATAGAAGCCTCTTCACTTTCACGTGGACTCCTCACACTTCCTTTCCAAGGGCATCGTACACAGGACACGGCGTGTACGCTCTTATTTCCAAATATTTACGGAGTCACAGGAAGTTGCCAAAATAGTATGGTTTATGTACCCATCACCCCGCTTCCCCCAGTAGTTTCTGCTCACATAACTATAGCCCAGTTTCCAAGCCAGGACTGTGACATTGGTCTGTGGGATGTGCGTGCATGGAGTGCTAGGACTTTCAGTTACAGTGGAGTCCACGTGAGCACCACCGCGGTCAGGATCCAGGGCCAGACCGCAGAGATCTCCCGCTTGTGACCCACCCCACCAGCCCAGCCCCAGCCCTGGGAAGCTGGTCCTCTGCTTCCCATCTCTAGAATGTTGTCCCAGTGAGAATGTAGCACGTGACCTCAGCATGATGCCCTTGAGAGCCGTGCAGGTTGCGTGTGTGTGTATGTGCCCTCTCTTTAAAGCTGTGTTTAGCTTCCCCTCTCTTCCTCGGTGCTGCCTACGGAGGCGGCATCCATCTGTTACTGGGCATCATGGCTGCCCTCAGACCTCTGGTGAAGCCCAGGATCGTTAAAAAGGGGACCAAGAAGTCCATCTGGCACCAGTCAGACCGATATGTCAGAATTAAGCGCAACTGGTGAAAACCCAGAGGCACTGACGGTAGGGTGTGCAGAAGATTCAAGGTCCAGATCTTGATGCCCAACATCAAGGGAGCAACAAGAAAACAAAGCACACGTTGCCAGGTGGCTTCCGGAAGTTCCTAGTGCACAACATTGAGGAGCTTGAAGTGCTGCTGATGTGCAGCAAATCTTACTGTGCAGAGATTGCTCACAGTGTCTCCTCCAAGAACCGCAAAGCTATTGTGGGAAAAGCAGCCCAGCTGACAGAGTCACCAGTCCCAGTGCCAGGCTGCACAGTGAAGAAAATGAATAGTTTGTTGCGCACGTCATATTCGTGTTAATAAAACCATGAAACTACAAAAAAAAAAAGCTATGTTTACGGCTGCCCTGTGATCTCTTACCCAGTCCCTCGATTAGGGACACTTGCTGGTGTCACGGCCCCTGTTGAGGACTGCTGTGTGGCAGCGTTGGTGTGCACTGGCCGTGGCGGGCTCCGGGTTTCTAGGTGCCGAGGAGCATGGATGTTGTTCTTTGTGACGGATGTTCTCCGAGTGCCCTTCAGAAAGGGAACAGGATCCTGTAGTCCCTGGGTGTGTAGAGCGCGCCAGGCTGCTGGTATGTGGGAGGCCCGGCTGTGGACACTAGCTGCACCCTCACCTGGGCACTTCAGGCGTCTGGCCGTCCGCCCTCCAGCCTGTAGTGTGTGGGAACAGACTCAAAACCCCTTGCCCATCTCATGGGTGAAGAGTATCATCCTGGTGTTTTGGGTTCCGGTCTTTTTTTGTGATGGGATTGTCCTCTCTGGGGCCCTCTCTTTTTGGCAGAATATCTGTTCGTAACTGTTCTTGCCTTTCTATTGGGTTGGTCCTCCAGCCCCACCACCCACGAGGTAATTAAGAAAATAACCTGGGGAGGGGCGCCTGGGTGGCTCAGTCGTTAAGCGTCTGCCTTCGGCTCAGGTCATGATCCCGGGGTCCTGGGATCGAGCCCCGCATCGGGCTCCCTGCTCGGCAGGGGGCCTGCTTCTCCCACTCCCACTCCCCCTGCTTGTGTTCCCTCTCTAGCTGTGTCTCTCTCTGTCAAATAAATAAATTTAAAAAGAAAATAACCTGGGGAAATTTTTTGAAATGTCTCCCAGGCTCCTTCCCTAGAGACCCTGAGGTGGTGGGTCAGCAAGAGGCCCTGTATTCCAAGCTGTGAAAGCTTCCTGGGAGAGTGATCGTGGCTAGCTTGGGTGTCCTAGCCTCCGAGAGCCTCAGAAATGAGAGTCGGCGGGTGACATTTTGTGCCTTATCCTGGAAACGGAGTGGCAGGGCAGTTGCCCGTGACTACTTTGTAGCTGAGTAGGAGCTCTCTTTCCCAGGAGAGCTGCTTCGGCCTGTTGTATTTGAAGGCCTGAGGCAGCAGGTGAGAAGTGAGAAGTGCAGTCCATCATCCAGCTGGGCATCCAGTGTGCACCTGCCCCATGGCTCTGTGAGGCCTTGTTCTAGATTACGCAGAGTGCTTGGCCCTCCTGCGCTAGATCTGCCTGTAGGTTTTGTGGGGTGTCATCCCTCCTTGCTCCTCCGTGACGCCCCTTGTTTGCGGTGTGTGAAGGTAGCTCTCGAGTGAGCAGCGTCTCTGGGCTGTGGGTGAGCTGAACTGCCTGCTGGGCCTTCGTGGAAACCATGGGGGACAGAAGAATTTTAAGCTACCCCAGATACGCATATAACTTTCTTTGTGTGCTGGTTGCATTTTTTTGACGTTAATAAACCAATTTTGGTAAACAGAGCTCCAAGAGTCAGGATCGCAAATCAGAAAGCAAAGAGAAGAGAGACATCTTGTCGTTTGATAAAATCAAAGAGCAAAGGGAGCGCGAGCGCCAGAGGCAGCGGGAACGGGAGATCCGAGAGACGGAGAGGCGGCGGTGAGTGGGGCCCCGCAGCCTGGCAGGTGGGTGGTCTCCTCTGGGGGCGTTCCGCCTTTCTCCCCAAGCGAGTGACCTGCCTGGCCTAGGCTTGCTGGCTGCCTTGTTTCCCGAGGCAAAAGGCGAGGGTCAGCAGGGGTCGTGGTCAGCCTCGGCATGATGTTCCTCAGAGCTGGTTTTGTTCGAGACCTGAGCTGATAATCAAGAGTCTGACGCTTAACCAACTGAGCCGCCCTCATCAGAGTTGCTCTCCACTGTGTAGCGTTTCTCCTGGCCCAGGTAGCAAGCTCACCTGTGTGTGGCTTTGATGGAAGGACCCCCAGTGTCGAGGTCTCAGTCTTCCCTGCTGAAACCCCACATAAATAAGATCAAGAATGCAGCCAAGGGATGTGGCATTTTTATTATTAGAGATGTTATTCACGGGAGTGGCGTCTTCACTCCTGAAATGTCTACATCTCCGCAATTTCAGGTGGCCTCCGTCACACACGACATTCTTTGCCACACTCACCTTTTGTTAAGGAGGCAGTTTATGGAAGGAGGCCTGTTCCCAGTCTTGCCTTCTGCCTTTTCCCATCCAGGGCTCCCTTGTCATTTTCCCTCGTATACCGCTCGGCGAAACGAAAGCTTTACGTCATGGTGTTTGGAGAACTTGCTTGAGCGAAAGCGGGTCGTGTAGAAACTTCTCCAGTTACGCTACATTTGCTTCCCTACATAGTGGGGTTCCGGTGTCTCTGCTTATGTAGCTTTAGAAAGTAAAAGCACCATTGGCTGTCATGTTTTCCACTGGCTCACACTGACTCTGGAGCCTTTTCAGTCCCTGGGGGGCAGGTGCGAGGAGTGGCAGCGACTCCTGTGGCAGATGCAGAGGGGGCGTCCCCAGTCCCCCTCAGCTCCGGGCGTGCGGTGGCTGATGGTGCGAGCCCTGGCGCCAGGCCGCATACCGCGGCCCCCTCAGCTCATGCCTGGCCTTCTGTGCCCACAGCTTCCCAGGTCGGCGCGAAAAGGCGCGGTCATTAGAAAATGCAGCCTTGGGCGCCTGGGTGGCTCAGATGGTTAAGCGTCTGCCTTCGGCTCAGGTCATGATCCCAGGGTCCTGGGATCGAGTCCCGCATCGGGCTCCCTGCTCCTTGGGAGCCTGCTTCTCCCTCTGCCTCTCTCTCTGTCTCTCATGAATAAATAAAATCTTTAAAAAAAAAAAAGAAAAGAAAATGCAGCCTTGTAGGAGCGAAGGTGTGAAGGAGGAGGGCCCATTACACAGCATCGTGCAGTCCTTCCTCCGGGCTTCTCTCTGTGCAAGGCAGCCTTCGTTGTAGCAGTCAGCCTTGGCTTCTCTTACACCTCTCCCCCTTAATGTGTGGCTTCACTTTGGTGCCTTTGAGCCAAGTCCTCAAGGCCCAGACCCCACCCTGCTCTCCCCTGGCTTTGCTTTTGTGACAAAGGAGAGTTGCGAGGAGGGGGTTTGCGGCCGAGGCGCGCAGCTCAGCGGAGCGGGGTGGCGCCTGTCCCCCACCTCCCCCTTGGGAGGACGGTGCCCCGGCGCGGGCAAGTCAGGGCGGCCTTCCCGTGTTCCCGCAGAGAGCGCGAGCAGCGCGAGCGGGAGCAGCGCCTGGAGGCCTTCCACGAGCGCAAGGAGAAGGCGCGCCTGCAGCGGGAGCGCCTGCAGCTCGAGTGCCAGCGGCAGCGGCTGGAGCGCGAGCGCATGGAGCGCGAGCGGCTGGAGCGCGAGCGCATGCGCGTGGAGCGCGAGCGCCGCAAGGAGCAGGAGCGCATCCACCGCGAGCGGGAGGAGCTGCGGCGCCAGCAGGAGCAGCTGCGCTACGAGCAGGAGCGGCGGCCGGTGCTGCGGAGGCCCTACGACGATGGGCGGTAAGGACCCGGCCCCCTTCCCTGGAGGGTTGGGGACCTTGACGACCGAATCTGGGGCCTCTGGACGCCCGCGCAGGACTCACAGCTGCCTCCACCTCGAGTTCATGGAGTTTCTCCATCTGGGGGCTCTGCGGCGTTTTCCCGGAGTTACTCTGCAGAGAAGCTTGATGGTTGCCACTTGGGGAACAGTTTGTGATGCTCTCGCTTAGGCTGCCCCGTTCTTCACACTGCGGTTCCTGGTGGAGCATAACCACCTGCCAAGTGCCTGTCGGGGGCCGGCCGAGCCTGCGATTAGGCCCGTGGGCACCATGACCTCGTAGAGGGAGAGGCATGGAATTGCACTGTAGAAAAGGAAATTGCCTTCCCGTTCACAAAGTGGGTTTATTGGTCTCCAGCCCCTCTGAGCTGCTTAATTGATGGTCACCCATCACCCCACCACCCATGCATGAGCCCAGTGTTAAAAATCAGGAAGAAGATAATTGAATGCCATCCTGAGCTGTATGTAGTTCACTATCACCCAATCTAATTCCCTTTGCTTTTGCAAAAAACTCAGAGGGAGATGCAGGTTACCATAGAAGACAGGAAAGGGGAAATGTGGCAGCTCGGAATGGCGTTCCAGAAGAATCAAATATTTCATTTCCCTTGCATCTGGGCTCACACGGGGATCAAGGTATTAACAGCCTTGTGATACAATTAGCTCCCAGCAGCCCTCCTTTCAGGACTGTCAGATGAAAATACCGGCATGCCTCTTGGCAGTTTGGGGGATTTTAATTTATCAAATCAAAGCAATAATGATTGAATGTTTAGAGATTAGCCCTGCAGGACATTTTACACGATACTGGGTCTGGAGAGAGCTCCCCTCCCCACCTCCACCTCTTTCCCTTTTCCCCTCATTCTCTGTCATAAATGAAATTCACGTCCTTTTAAAAATAAAAAACAGGCGAGATGATGCTTATTGGCCAGAAGGCAAGCGTGTGGCCATGGAGGACAGGTACCGCCCAGACTTCCCTCGGCCTGATCACCGCTTCCATGACTTTGACCATCGAGACCGGGGCCAATACCAGGACCATGTGGCTGACAGGTCAGCACCCACCCTCTCCTGCAGCTGTGGACGGAGCCAGCTCAGCCTGACGCAGGCATGGGTCTCCCTCTGTTCTCCGACGTCTCATTTACTTGTGAGGCTCCCCGTGCCTGGCTGACCCGCTGCACGTGGGATTTAGAAGCTCGCGCCTTGAGCAGGATGTTGGACTCGGGCGTCCCTTAGGGCATCCTTAGCTTGTGTGGCGGGAGGACCCTCAGCTCCTTTCACGCACTGCCCTCCACAGACCAGTGGGGACTGGGGGCGATTCCTGAGTCTCCGCAGCCCCATGCCCAGCTCTCCAGGGCCCATACTCTGGGCCTCACAGCTCCCCTGGGCTCTGTCCCAGCCACCCCTCCACCAAAGCGTCCCTTGGGAAACAGAGGGTTTCGAGGAGGGCATGCCCAGCCTCCTGTTTCTACGGAGAGAAAGCCGTCTAGAGAAGGGGTATGACCCGCCTGAGCCTTTGCAGGCAGAGCAGGCCGGAGTCCGCGTCCACGGGGTTCACTGAGCAACAGAGGTTCCTGTGCCAGCACACCAGGCAAGAACTGACTGTAGCACGCGGGAAAGTTCTTGCTGCCTAGCGTGGTGGTTTAAAGGTTTGAAAAGGTTTTTTTTAGCCAGGCCCTTTTTAAAAAAAAAATTTTTTTTTTTTTTTTTTTTTTTGTCAAGTGTCTTTTTAAACGGGGAATATATATATGTAGTTCGTTAGAAAGGCAACCCTCAAATTTCTAGTTTAAGAATTCTCTGTCTGGGTTTCTTATCATGTTCCCCTGGGCTGCATATCCCTGAGCCGTTTCACCGTTCATAAGCTCTTCTGTAAGGAAGGGAGAGCAGGGGAAAGACGGGCTGAGAAGCGACTCATTTAATGAATGGTGGTTTGAGATTTGGTGTGAATCACATGTATTGGATCAAATCAGAGGTTGGGGACCCTCTAAGGCTTCTCTGGTAGACCTTGGATTTTGTCACTTGGCCACAGATAATAGGCATTGGCTTCGTGGTGTGGGTCACTACCTCTGAGATCCCTCCAAGGGATTTTAGTTCAGTAAAATCTTTATTCCCACCTTCTTAGGATCCGGTTTCACTCCCACCCTCAGGGAGAAGGCTTTAGATGCAAGCCAGCTTTTTTGCACAGGCCAGTAAATTACAGTTCTTACTGGGTGGAATGGAATAAGTACCCCAATTGTGGAACTCGTGTGTGTGGCCTGCCGAAATGTTGTCTAGTGCCACCAGCTGCCGTTGGAATGAGATATTTCGCTTTTGCAGGAGGGAAGGTTCAAGGTCAGTGATGGGAGAACGAGATGGGCAAGTAAGTAAATCCCAGACGCCAAGCCTGGGGCGCACCTGCTTCTGCGTTGGGGCGGGGGGTGGGGGGGGCAGATTGCGGACGTGTCCGTTCTGGCCGGTGAGTGGAAGTGTGCATCGTTGATTGTTTTCTGATTAGTCAGTCTGTGTTTTTCGACTACGTAGGGCCTGTGCCGCCTCCTGAGAAGGATGTATCTGGGGGTCTGCGGGCACTGACCACCCTGGGGGTGTGGGAGGGGCCTTCCTGTCATCAGCAAGGAGGAGGTATCCTGATTCTTCCAGGGAAGACTGACTCTTCTCAGAGGACCCTTGGGCGGAGCCGTCAAGCACCATAAAGTGCGGGGCTCTCCACATGCACAGGGCCAGAGAGGCCTCAGCTGGCCCTTCGTGTGGCGCCAGAGATGGAGCTGTAGGGACACTCAAGGGTTCTGAAGCACTGTCAGGGTTGGAAGGGAGCATCCGGCGAGCTGAGGGTCAGGAGCCACAGCCTGGCCGGCTGCAACAGGCTCACAGGAGTGATGTGGCTAGAGTCGCCCTGTCCCTCTTGTGCCTTCCAGCACTACTCAGACGACCGCCATGGCCATGGAGGACCACCAGAGCGCCACAGCCGGGACTCCCGGGACGGCTGGGGGGGCTACAGCTCTGACAAGAGGATGAGTGAGGGTCGGGGGCCACTGCCTCCACCCAGGTTAGCAGCGAGCGGCTCTGGAAATGGGCCGGCCCTGGGTGCCTTGCTGGTTTGCCCCCAACAGCCCTTTCCCACTTTGCCTCAGCCCCTAGGAATGGGATCCCCTGCCTGCTGATGGAGACAGCCCTAGAGCCTTTCTTACACTTGCCCCGGGGACCAGAGAAGCTTTATGCACCCCCACCCCTGTCCCCCAGTCACCTTTAGGCGCTTTTAAGGCAGGTGTGGTGCCTGTCAGAAGGTTCTGCCTCCCCCAGGTGGGTTTTCAGGTATGGAGTGAAGAAGGCAGCACCACTTTGATAGATATAAACGTAAAGTGTTCTTTCCCAAGTGACCTATTTAGCACTTGGTCCTTGAATACCATTTAGTCCATTTTGCCTTAAATACCTGTGGGAAATGAAACCGGGAGAACTCCTCTGCAGACAAAAGATAGCCCCGAGCGCCGTGACCGTGGGGCTGGGCGGCTGTCACCCACACATGCAGGGCAGCCGAGCATTCGCCCTCGAGGACAGGTGTCGGGGGCTCCAATGGGCTCCTCGTCCCAGGTCTCAGAGGACAGGTCAGCCTGGGCCTGGACCCCCTGGTGGCTGCTGGTGCTCACACACTGGAACCCTGTTTGGATTTGTACTACCTGGAGTTTCTCTCTAACTTTTTTTAAACCACTTTTATGAGTCACATTCACATGCTGTAGGGTTGACCCACTTGAAGTGTACCATTTGAGGGCTTGTAGTGTGTTCAGAGCTGGCTATTCATCACCACCATCCATCACAGAACGTTGTCAGCACCCCCAAAGGAAGCACCCGTTAGCCGTCACTCCCCATTCTGCCTCCCACTGATCCAGTCTGTCTGTGGATTTGCCTCTTCGGGGCATTTCACACAAATGAAATCACATTATGTGGCCTCTTGTCTGGTTTCTCTCAGTATCGTGTTTGCAAGGTTCATCCACGAGGTCTCACGTGTCAGCTGCATCCCCCCCCCCTTTTTTTTTTTTAAGATTTTATTTATTTGACAGAGACAGCGAGAGAGGGAACACAAGCAGGGGGAGTGGGAGAGGGAGAAGCAGGCTTCCCGCTGAGCGGGGAGCCCGATGCGGGACTCGATCCCAGGACCCTGAGATCACGACCTGAGCCGAAGGCAGACGCTTAACGACTGAGCCACCCAGGCGCCCCAGCTGCATCCCTTTTTATGGCTCAGTAACGTGCCACGTGTGCGGAGACCACACTTTGTTTCTCCGCTCACCAGCCAGGGGACACTGGGGTGGTTTCCACCTTGGGGCTGTCACAAAGTCGTGCTGCAAGGAATGTTTGTGCGAGAGTTTTTCCATGAACATGTTTCCCGTTCCCTTGGGTGGGTAAGCACGGATGGACTAGGCGGCTCCCACGGTCACCGCGTGCTGTCCTGTTTGACCGCCTCACTGGCCACGCGTTAGGATCCCTGTTTCTCCACATGCTCGACAGCACTTACCGTCTGTCAGTTGGCCACAGGCCAACCTCGCAGGTGGCACGCGTGGTCTTGGCGGTAGCTGGGCTGAGCTCCTGCTCGTGTGCTCGCTGACCACGCGTGTGTCTCTGGGGGCGTGACTGTTCTCATCCTCTGCCTCTTCCCTCAGGAACCCTTGACCTGGGACAGGACCAGCGGGGCCACGGCCTCACCGTAGAGGCGCCAGGGACACTTACCTATCTGCTTTCTGTTCTGACCGAAGGGCTGGACGTGACTGGGCGGAGCACAGTCAGAGGCTAGAAGAGCATCCGGAGCGTGCGTGGCCAGGCTCGGTGGACACAGGCACGGCGGGCCGGGAGCATGCGCGGTGGCAAGGTATGGGCTGACTCTTGCCAGGAGCTGAAGGAGGGCCGCACGTTTTCAGGACAGTCCAGGGGCCGGTCCCCTCTGGCAGTTGCAGAGGCTTCCAGGAGCTTTCAAGAGGGGAGTGTGTGCAGACTCTTTCCTTTCTTCCAGGTGGTGAGAGGGGCCTATCTGGGCCCTCGGGGCCAGGACACCTGGCAAATCGGGGCGGGATGTCGGGGTAAGGAGTTTCGTCCCTGGATAAAATTAATTTGTTCCTGCCCCTCCTTTCCTCTCCCTTTTTTGCGTGTCTGACCAACTTGCTAGGGTGACTGTTTTGAAAACAAGCCCCCAAAGTGGCTCTTGGCAGCTTCTGCAAGTCGCACTCCTCAGTTACCCGGAATGCAGTCTGGGATTATGATTTTCTCACCTGGAAAAAGCCAAACAGGTCTAAAGGCTGCAGAGCCGTATGCTGCCCCACATAAGAAAATGTGAAGCCCTTCAAGGGGACAAAACGTGTGCCTTTGTTCCTAGGCGAGGCGGCTTTGCACAAGGCGGGCATTCCCAGGGTCACATGGTGCCCGGTGGCGGACTGGAAGGTGGAGGACTGGCCAGCCAGGACCGGGGCAGCAGAGTCCCGCACCCCCACCCCCACCCGTACCCCCACTTCACCCGTCGCTACTAAACCCCACTCACCCCGAGTGTCCAGGTAGGCAGATGCACTGTTGAATAAGCTCAGCCGGAATTACCTTGAACTTGTGGAACCTTTTCAGAAACAAAAGCAAATCCTGCCACCATGTTGTAGCTCAAAACAATGTGAATTCACTTTTTTTTTTTAAATAAACGTGTTCTTCTCTGCCATTTTTAAGACAACATTTCTGTTAACGAGGCATTCCATTTTCCATTAATAAAAGTTTATGGTTCTCACTCGTGTGTGTTGCAGTGATTGCAGAGCAGAGGGCGGTGCCCACCTCAGCAGCACCCTTGTGCTTGTGGGTCGAGGCTGTCAGCCCGTCTGAGCGAGTCCTCCCAACAGCCCGGCGCACTCCCCTTCTCACAGATGAGGAAATGGGTCACAGGGCTTGCAGTAGGTGGCAGGGCTGGGATCCGAATTAGAAATTCTTAATTGGAGGAGGGGGGCATGCATGGTGGGGGCCTCAGACCAATCACTTCACCCCTTATGCTAGCGTGCCTGGGGTGGGGGGCATCTGGTGATGGTGTGCAGGGTTTGGCGATCTGGCTGAGGGCAGGCCCTGTTTGGTGTGGGACTGGTGGTGACGGATTCCCCCCAGTTTTCTGGAAATGCAAATTAATATGTAATTTCCTCATGTGTGATTATAAAGGATCCTAATATTCCTCGTTAAAGTCTGGCACACAAGGCACCTGGCTGGCCCTGAGTGGTGAGCGGGAGCCCTCCAGTCCAGGCCCCTCCAGTGTGACCCCACAGTGAAGTGCTTCTCCCACAGGACAGCTGAGCAGGTGCCAACAGGGAGCTTGGGTGACCGCAGGCCCATTGGGGCATCCAAGGGCCAAGTTTGTGTCCCACAAATCCTGGCCCTGATCCGGATTGGGGAGAGTTAATTCCCCCAGTGCCCCTGCTGGGAACCTGGATTCCCTCCCTCCAGAACTAGGACAGCCGCCCCACAGGCTACCAAACAATTGCCAATTCTCCTGGAGTAGCCTGTGTTCCCGCTGGGGTGTTTAGTTTTAAAAGAGCAATCTGAAAATCTTCCCCAGCTTGCCGTGGAAGCCTGAGCATTAAAGGCAGGTCGGCTCTGGCTCTTGGTGTCCTCTTTGAATTGCGGCAAGTAAATACCTCGTGAGCTCCCCGGCACCACGGGGGCTTTTGGAGTCATTTTCCGGTGACAGGTTGACAGGATGCTGTCTCCATGGTGCCTCCTACACGGGGCCCGTCTCCTCCGCAAGCCAGAGTCTGGAAATTGGGGTCTGGGCTCACCCACATTGGGTGATAAAAGCCATAATCAGCCTGGGGTTGTGGGTGAGACCCGTTTTGAGATCTTGTCCCCTCGTTGCTGTGGAGCGACCGCCCTCCAGGGGTGACTGACATCCGGGAGTGAGACTGAGGGCCCTCGGCCTGGGCGCTGCCGCCGAGCTGCCCCGTCAGAGCTTTGGACAGCCTGTGGGGACGAGAACAGCCCCTTCCAAACAGCTGGGCCTGACACCAGACTCGGTTTTACGTAGATGCATAAAATCTGTGTTTGCTAGGGCTGCCGTAAGACAGTGCTGGAAGCAAATTTATTCTCTTGCGGTCCTGGAGACCAGAAGTCTGGGGCAAGTTTCCCTCCGAGGCTGTGACACAATCTGTCCCATGCTCTCCCAGCTTTGGGGTCACTGACAAACTTTGGTGGCGTCCCTTGGCTTGTTGACACATCCCCTTGACCTCTCTGCCTCCGTCATCCAGCCTCTCTGCGTGTCTGTGGCCAAATTTCCACTTTCTGTAAGTACACCGGTCATATGGGTCGGGGCTCACCCAAATGACCTCATTTGAACTTGAACGCCGGTGGAAAGGCCTTCTCTCCAAATAAAGCCACCTTCTGAGGTCCTGGGGCCTATACCTCCACACAGGAATCTTGCCCGGATGCAACTTCCAGGTAAATCGAGGGAAAATTACTTCTCGACTCCAGGACCTTACCTAGAGTTCCCCCTTTCTATGAACAGGCTGCTGGGGCTCCCGGGTGTCCCTGCCTCCCCACCGCCTCCGTGCAGGATTGGAGCCGGGCACGGGTGTGCACCTGAGCCCCCCATCATCCTGGGCCCGAGCGTTTACAGGCCGAAGCTCGCGGGATCTGCTAGACACTGTTTTCTTATTTCTTCTGTTTGTGTCTGATAACACATCTTACTGTTTTGTTTTTAAATAGTGTGTAGTTAGATTGTATTAGGTCTGATTTTTATTCCAGGAGAGAAAAGGGAGGTAGAACCAAGTCTGTGTTCTTTGTATTTATTTAAAAAAAACTTTTTCACTATTTTTTTCACACATACAGTGTATTATTTGTTTCACGGGTACAGGTCTGAGATTCATCAGTCTTACATAATACCCAGTGCTCATTACAACACGTACCCTCCCCAATGTCCATCACCCAGGTTACCCCGTCCCCCCAACCCCCTCCCCTCCAGCAACCCTCAGTTTGTTTCTTATGATTAAGAGTCTCTTACGGTTTGTCTCCCAAGTCTGCGTTCTAAAAGGGGGCTGCTAGTGGGCACAGGGTTGTTGGCACTCTTTGGCTCCTGTGAACATTTATTGCCGTATTTGCCAGCATACCTGTTTCCCATTCTGGGTAGGTACCTGGGCCTGGAATTGCTGGCTCACACAGTAATTCTGTGTTTGACTTTGGAGGAACCACCTGTTTTCCACAGCGGCTGCCCCATCTCAGTCCCACCAGTGACGCGCGGAGTGCCGCTCCACTGATTTTCCAGTTTCTGTCTGTGTGTTTATAACAGCCATCCTAACGGTGTACGGTGGGGTGGATAAACAGAGCGTTGTCCATCCATACACTGAACACCTGCCACGACGCGGAGGGACCCTGAGGACACTGCTCAGTAAGAGGAGCCAGACACAGAAGGACGACCCCACTCCCAGGAGGTCCCCAGAGGAGTCCTGTCCACAGAGACAGGAGAGGGTGGGAGCCAGGGCCGGGGCAGGGGGTAGGGAGTCTGTCCTTCATGGGGACAGAGTCTCCGTGCGGGGAGATGGAAAGTTCTGGAGACGGAGGGTGGGGGTGGCTGCAGGACGGTGTGAGTGTGCTTCATGCCCCTGAGCTGTGCACCTAGAGATGGTTACATTTTATATGTATTTTATCACAATTTATAAAATTTTTTGAAGATGGGGGTTCTGTTGGGTACCATCGGAGTGAGAGGCACTGGGTAGAGGTTAGGAGGGCAGGCTCGAGATCCACCCTGTCTGCCTGTCCGCCCACGGGGAGTTCATAGTCTCTCTCTGCTTTGGCTTCCTTAACTGGAAGAAGGGAACAATAATAGTATTCACCGTAAAGCATCTTTGTGAAGATGAAATTAGTCAAATACATGAAAAACTCAGAATTGTTCCTAGCATATAGTAAGTGCTTAATGTTGACTGGCACTGGGGGGGCCTGCAGGGAAAGGTCCCGGGGTGCTCGTGCCGTACAGGGAAACTGTAAGATGTTTTGAGGCCTGGAGAATAGGAAGGAAGAGATCTCAGCTCCAGAAATAAAGAAAACTGCAAAATCAGAATTAATACCTTATCAAATGTCTCCACATCTACAAAAATGTGTCAACTTCATCAATTGCTAAATTTTGTACTCATACAGATTTCATTACATTTCAAAACAGTTGCTAGGTTAAATTTTCTCAGTTTGCAGGAATTCCCAAGTCTGCATGATGATTGCCAGTCTTAAATTGCCTGTGTGACTCCTAGTCAAAAAACCTCAAACACGAAGTTATAAAAAGCCCTTTTGAGTTTTAAAAAATAACAGCCGCAAAAGTTGTTGGCTAGTGGGGATGGAGGGCCTTCTAACTGGCTGGCTGGGCTGAGGGGTGGGGTCTCTGCTGGTGTTGACACCCCCCCACCCCACCACATAAGACCACCCTTCCCTGGGGCACGGCCATCACAGGATGGTGAGCCAGGGTTTGGACCTGAGCTCACACCTCCCAAGTGGGTTCACATCTCAGCTCGCCCTCTTTCATCAGCTGTGGGTCCTTGGGAAAGTGACTCACCCCCTGAGCCCACTGCTTTCCCGTTTCTCAGAGGGGTGTGATAACTTCTTCATCCTGGGAGGATTTGATGGGCGACCACGGCAGGTCCAACGTGTCTGCTGGAGGCCTCTTTGGCTCAGTGGGGCGCTGGGTCCTCAGGATTTCCTCCTCTCCCCAGAGTGCTGTGTTCATCTTAGGATTGGAGCATTGCACACGCACAACGCTTGCAGGATAATTGGGTGTGTGCATTTCCTGTGTAGGACGCCCTCACAGATTAACAGGAGCTCAGTGGCTCTAAACAATACAAACTTACCCTCTCAAGTTTCGGAAGTCCTACAACCCAGTGTCTGCACGGCTGGTTTCTTGTAGAGGCTGTGGGGGAGGAATCCGGATTCCCTGCCTTTCCAGGTTCCCAGGCCTCCCGCACCGTGACCTTGGCCCCTCCTCCGTCTACAGAGCCTGCAGCCCACCCCGCCCTCCCATCTTTCCTGAGTTCCATCTCCGACCACAGGCTGGAAAAAGAGCCTCCAGTTTTAAGGATTCGTGTGATCAGATTGGACCCACCTGGGAATCCAGGCTCTTCTCCTCATCAGGGTCCTTGACCTCAATCACATCTGCCACAGTCCCTTTTGCCACGTCGGGGAACATTGTCACGGCACCAGGGATTGGGATATGGACATCCTTGGGTGGTGGGCGGGGGCTCTACTTCGCCTATCACCCTGGGGCATGAAACACTCTGCTTTGGGGGTCGCAGATGTGAACGCTGGCCGAAGAAGTGAGACCTACTCCTGTCCTGTGGCTGTGAAGACATCCCCAAGCCCGGACGTGCTCAGTCCCAGCTTCTCTGGGAACCAGAGAAGTGACCGTGCCTTTGGGCGCCGATGAGCAGGCCGGACTCGAAGGTTACTGTCTACACTATTTCTTTTGTGTGTGCCTGACCTTTAGAGTTGACCTCCAGGGTAACTTGCTGCGTCCCTGATACCCTCAGAGGCCAACTTGGCCCCAGCGAAAGTGAAAGCAGTGTGGGGCGGGGGGGGGGGGGGGGGGGGCGGGGCCAGATCACTCCCCGAAAGGTGGGCACGCCCAGGAGCAGCAGGGCGGCCCCGGGGCTGTTGGCTTGCACCTGCCCGACCTGGAACCCACAGCAGACAGAGCCGCCCGGGGTCACCTCGGGCAGCAAATAAGGACACAGCAGAGACCGCGTCCTACACTCGGGACGACGATGCGGGACCCGGTGA